CTCCAACCTACTAGCGATGGCCTCCAACCTACTAGCGATGGCCTCCAGCCTACTAGCGATGGCCTCCATCCTAAGAGAAGATATGTTGAATGAACATTTGATATTTTGAATACCAACAGCTTTCAAGCGGTTTGATTTGGCATTTGTGTTTCTGAACTCAAATACCTCTATCTCTTGCTACTACTTTCAACGACACTTCCAAAAAGCTTTTAGAACGACTTAGTAGTCTTGGGTTTGGAATTCCTTTCATGTTAGTTCGGTATTTTGATTTGATAAGAAGATCGCTTTCTCGGAAAAGTCTAGGTCTTTGCCTCTTGCCCTTAATCATACATGCCTCTTGCAGCATTGCTCATTTAAGATCTTGCAGCCATCGAATCTCCAGGTGTGGCCGCGATCCTGGAACCTGCTTGACGATGCTTGGAACAAAGGCAGCCATCACTGCTATCACCCGGCTATCCCGTCCTATCAGCGAGAATGCCAGAGCTGCTTTGTTTCCTCGCCAGATTACCAAGATTTGAAGCCATTCGGTGGGAAGAGCAGGTTTTGAACAATTACTTCGCAGTGTTGGAAGGATCACTACACTTTTGCATCTTAAGAATTAAGATGCCGATAAAAGGGAAAGAAATAAGAACACCACAAAGCATATTGGTCCCACTAATTAGATCAAAGAAAAAGACATGAAGAACCAAGACAATAGACAAGAACTATGCAATAGATGAGAACATATTGAAACAATAGACAATGACAAACATATCTGGTTTTCTTCTCCGCGAGGCATTGAAGTGGACACCATTTGTGGCAACGCCGCCTTGTCGCCACAAAGAACTTGGCCAAAGGCGGCACAGGTGCTTCGGCAGCTCCAGGCGCGACTTTGTGCTTCTCACTGGCCTTGCATTTGGTTGTATCTGGTTCTAAGGCATTCTTTCAAAAACTGCCGGTGAAACCATGTGTCATCTACCCATCCAGGTACAAGGCTTGCGGCCAAATAGCAGCACCACTGCAACATTCCTGAGCCAATTGGGCGAGCATTCACTTTGGGACACTTTGGCGATCATTGTTAGGAACAAGTGCATCGCTACTAGGAGCAAGTGCCGTACTAGTAGTAACAATGTTCGCTATTAGAAGCAAGTTTTTAATTAGAATAGCTTCTTTCTTTATTTTCTTTCTTTGCTTCCGGACCTTTTGTGCGTCCCGTCTGAAAGAAGTCTTCAATCTCCGCACTTCTCAGGAGAAGGCAATGTCTTGGCTGAGAGACAAAGATGGGGAAAGCGCAGTAAATGCAGGCTGATCAGACTCGAAGGAGCTACATTCAGCTTTCAGTTTTCGATGTTTGAAGCTTTTGGGGGTATTCCTTCGAAACGAGACAAAACCTGCGAACACTAAAGTAATTAGTCACAGTAGTCACGGGGTGCACGGCATAACCAATGTGGATAATGCAGGCCGACCCATTCTGGGCTATGCCCTTAGGCTAGATACATATTGCTTTTTGATCATTCCCTGCTGACGGGTCAGACAGGTATGGCGGCATGTGACCGCGGTGGTGCTTGGCAGCGTGCGCACTTGCTGCTGCACTGGCCTGGACTGAAGGTTCCAAATATGGTCGTTGGGTTTGACATTTGGTCTTATAATGTCTAACCATTTTGCTAGTGTTGATGAAGTCAAGTAGTTCAGTCCAGGGCTTGAACAGCGTTTTGAAAAGAACACATTTCCTTTGCCAGCCCAAAGCCAAGCACTCCCACCAACCACTCCTACTTTCATGAGCGCTTCTTTACAGGGGGTCTGACACGGCTTACAAAATCGCTACCTGAAAAAGAACTTTCCAAGAAGATGGGATTCTTGTTTCTTCACCAGACTGCTGTGAGGGTCTCAGGTCGTACCGAAATGAATATACCCTGATAGAAAAAGACTTTAAGGAACCTAATAGCGATACTAGCCATGGCCTCCAACTGGATAAAGAAGTTCCATCCACACTTGAAGTGATTTAGACAAGCTTGCCGACGGTGTCAGCACCGGCTGTCAGCAGTGTCACTGTGTACTTGGACAAAGCCCTCTATTTTGCTGACTATCTGGAGCATTTTTTTAATATTTGGATCACTGAACGACAGTGCAGTGCATGCAACAGTGAGGGCTGTTGACACTCGTTTTGCTTGTTTTCTGGTTAGAGATATGCTATTATATGATCTTATATGCTTGCTCTTGGGTTGGAGTCATCGCTAGTAGGTTGATTCTTGCACATTTTTTTCGATCAGGAAAACCGTTTGTTTCGCTTTGGACATCGTCCGCCCGGAGACCACACAGGTCGATGTGGTGGGATGGAGCAGCTGCCAAAGCGCACAAGGGAAGCTTTGCAAAACACCAGCTGTAACTAACTCCATGGAATTTAATCGTTTCATCTGTTTCTTCCTTTTACTTCTCTTGTTCTTCCTTTTTCCTTTTAATTCTTCAGACTTTTCGCGTTTCCTTGCCCTTTCCATTTTTCTCTTCAATCTATTGGACGAACAGTAGAAGGCTTTACAGATCTTGCAGATCACTACAATACCCGTCCCTTGTCAGTCCTTACATGAACGCTTCCTTTTGCCGAGTTCGGGCTCGGACCAAGGATGTTCTTCCTTGAAACTGTTCTAAAAAAAGCTTTTTAGAAAAGCATTCTTGATCCTAGTAGCGATGCCCTTTGCTCCTAGTAGCTTCTTGCTCCTAGTAGTAAGGCCACGAGCCCCTAGTAGCGTCTTGGCTCCTAGATTGGCGTTTCAGGAAGTCTGGAAATTGGCCCGGAGCACTTTTCCTTCTCGCTGCAGGCTTGAGCATCTTCCAAAGATTCTTGTTGGAAGAGTTTGTCCAAAGATTCCTAAGAAGAACGGAACCAAAAAGGCCCATCATCTCATCACCACGAGCAACAAAAAGGCTACTTAGTTCATTGACTAGTCTTCAGAATACGCTTGTTTGTCTCCTTTTTGCATCCTTCCTTTAGAAGGCTTTGTAGAAACAACTATTTTTTAAGTTTCCGAGACTTCAGATTCGCAACTGCAGCAGGCAGTGGCATGATGCTTTCTGCCAATGCTGTTGGCCTGGCAGCCGCGCTGGGCTCGTGCCAGAACCAATGGCGCCAAACTTTGACACTGAAACGCTGGGCGCGCTGGGCCAGCGCGGAGAGCGCAGAGCGTGGCCTGGAGGTCAGACTGGTCAGTGACTTGCTGTTCTGTTTTGGGATTAAGCATTGAATGTATATGGTCAGTGATTATATTCCTTTTCTGTCGTTTTTCTCTTTAATTAGACTTTAGACCTTTCTGCTCTCAATGGTAAGGTTCTGCTGTAGCTGAAGAGGCATTTGGAACATCCCTAGCACCGTGAGGGTTTGAAGCTTGAAGAACTGAGTTAGCGGTTTTCCACCTGACACTAGCGTCAGTCAAGACTTATGTCCCGGGGTGAGGTTCAAGATTCAACGAGCCGACCTACCGATTGTAGGAAAAGGCGGACTTGCTGAACCCAAGCTCTGAGTTGGCGGTAGGAGTCGTAGGAATAGTAGGAGTAGTAGCAGTAGCGTGAGCGGGAGCAGCAGCAGTAATAGCAGTAGCGTTGCAGTGACTTAAGCATCTAGATGCACTGCCACGGACAAAACTAAATCACCAACGGGCAAAACAAGGACGACGTACAGGCCCATGTTTAAGCTTGACTGCCAACCACATCCTAGTAGCGATGCCCTTTGTTCCTAGTAGCTTCTTGCTTGAAACTGCAAAAATGGCCATCAGATTCCAGTGGCAGGTTGGCTTCCTTGCCCGATTGGCGCTACTCAGCGCCATGGAGAGCGCTTCCCGTTGGGCACGCTCACTGCAACTGTGGCCAAAAACGGCCGCTCTAGCTGAAGAACAGGTGGGAGAAGGCGCAAAGCAAGTCTGGAATTTGAAGATTTGACAAGTCTTATTGCAGCATGTTTTTCAGATGAACTCACAGCTTTCTTCCTTGTCCTTGGCAACACAGCAAAGCCTTCAGACGATATCCTTGGCGCTGCAAACTCTTTGATGACCAGCTGCAGCAGAAGCGCTTGTTGGAAGTGGGCACTACAGCTGCTGAGTGAGGCATAACATTTTCTGAGTGAAAATCAGAACGCAAGATTGAGCAGAGCCGGCAGAGCTGCTTTCGAAGGTGCAAAGCCGCCGCCTACCAGTCTCGACCATCATGAGGACTGCACCAGTCTAGACCAGAAGCTCGACCATCATCATCATGCTAGTAGGTTGGACGCCATTGCTGTTAAGCTCCTTTTGCTATTAGGTTTCAGGCCATCATCGTGTGGATCGAAGCTTTGTTCCAATGTGCAGGCCCCTCGTGGATGCTTGCGAAGCAGCATCGCAACCAATGCCTGCCGTTGTCATGGCACAGGACACGTCCTTTTTGATTCCTGTTCAAGCCGCCATCGATTTGCTGGCAGGAACTCAACATCCTAAAAAGGAACTAAAGATGAATATGAATATTAATCTATATGACAAGTATAGACTTTGAGCAGCGTTGAATCTTTTGATATTTATTGAATGCATCGCCGTGAAAGTATTGATATGATTTAGTATCCTAGATGGGGGATATTATAAGAACGTTTTTGTGATAATTCATCGATCAAATACATCTACAGAGGGAAGTGAACCTTTACTTTTCATGAGTGAAATCTTTAATTACAAATAGATTTCACGGTCATAGGCTAGTCGTTAATAGATTATATGGCAGCATAATATTATTTAAATTGCTGCCATTTATTTATATCTTATTTTAATTATCTAACGGCTAGCCTATAAATATAAGAGAATAAGAAATATAAATATTAATGATGAATAGACAATATATAGGCTAGCCTTTGACCTGGAATTCTATTTTAAATTAAAGAACTCCATGTGATCACTAGTAGATAAATGAAGGGGAAAAATCCTATATTTAAATAATCTCTTTTTTGTTGATAGGATTTTTCCTTGTCAACGGTGGCCATGAATTTTAATTATAAATGACTGTAAAATTCATGGTATCTATCTCAAGCTAAACTAGGCTTTCAGCAAGGGTTGTGCGGCGACTGTGGGGTTCACACAAGACACATGGGCCTGCACCTGCCCGCGATAACGTGTGCAAGTGTATCCACCACCATCTAAATGCACAAGCGCAGGCTCACACGCACATTTTTGAGTAAAACAGTAAAACGTGATGTGTCGTGTATTGTTATTGAGCATTGAGCGAGAGTTTTCTATATGGTCCGTCGTTTCGTAAGTAAAAACGAGCATGGTTTATGTTTCATTGCAGTGTTCTGGCTTCAGCGTATGGATAGGAAGCTGGCGCACGATTACGCGTCTTGTGGGTGCCGTTGTTGCGGCATCTTGGGCAAGCTCTCGGGGTTCCTCTTGAGAGCCACCACCCGGGAGGAGGTCCGGGTGTTTGCGGCGCCGGTGCTCGAGGCAGCTTACACCCAGCTCCTGGAGAAGGCGGTGAGCCTAGGACCTCCTCCTGGCGGTGAGCGAGAGCCGGCGGCCTCAGGATCGGGAGCAACAGCTCCTGGTGCATCGGGAGATCCGTCTCCTGGAAAGTCGGAGGCAGCTGCTTCCGAGACCAAAGGGGCTGTGACAAGCCCTCCGCCTGGCAGAGAAGAGGGCGGTACAGGCAGCAAGGGCCGGGGACTGCCACCCCTGGCCCGGCTGCGAAGGCGTGAACGACGAGACGAAGGTGATCAACTCGTTGAGACTGAGATCAAAGAGGAGCAGGTCACAGACACCAAGGAGCCGGTGGCCGACGTGGAGGAGAAAGGAGCAGAGCGTCAGACAGAGAAAGAGAGAAGCCGTAGACCCAGGTCGTCGAAGGAGGGCCGTGAAGAAGATCGAAAAAGAAAGAGGTCGAGGGAGAGAGATCGGGCTAGAAAGTCAAGAAGCAGGTCAAGAAGGCGAGAGCGGCGGCGGAGAGAGAGAACACCGCCTCGGAACCCGTCACCACCGGCAGAGGTTGAGCTGGGAGAAGAAGGCGGAGAGAGTGAGGCAGGAGGAGACCCAGACCTGGAGAGGGAGATCGTCGAGGAGGAAGCAGAGGAGCCAGCAGCAGATCGTCCCAAGCCCAGAGAGCCGCCTGGGCCACCTCCTGGATTCGGGAGAGGCCGTTGGGGGCGATCGAACTGGGGCGGATCCGACAAGCCCAAGAAGAAGAAGTCTAAAGGCAAGAAGCACGTCTTCCGGAATCAAGACTATTGGAGGAGGAGAAGAGAGCAGCAGAGGGGTGCGAGGCTATGGCACCCAAGAGGAGGCCAGCGGCAGAGGCGGGGCGGCCGAGGGGCGTGAGGAGGCGTCCCGCTGCCCTGGTGGTGGAGAGCGAAGAGGTTTGGGTGGCCGCAGAAGAGGTCACCCTGGCTCAGATGGAGGCTTGGCCTTTGATTCGAGTCCAAGGAGAATACTGGGAGGAAGCAGTCGACTGCATCGTGGAGATGATCGAGCTCAAGGCCAGTCGGGGGGATCGAGAGCTCCTGGGAAAGGCCATGGGAACCTCAAGCGAGGGGCTTCTCCGGTACATCAGTGGAGTGCCGGCAAAAAAGGTTCGCCTTCATCTATGCGGGGTGAGGTGCGACAAGAAGACATGGGAAGATGGGCTGATCCACGTGACACGGGTCAAGAGGCATCGAGATGGAGAAGTTGCTTGGGAGAAGAACTTGGAGACCAGTCGCGGCGAGGCCGAGAGGGACGAACTCGAGAGGGTTCGTTTGGAGGCTGCATCACGAGGGAAAGGTCGAGGACATCCAGCCGTACCACGACCAGAGGCAGAGGTGACAAAGGCCCCTGGGACTTCGGGGGACTCGCAGGAGCACAAGAAGAAGAAAAAGAAAAAGAAAAAGGCCAAGCTCAAGATCGAGGGGGTGAAGGATTATTCGACCCTCTTCAAGAACACAGGCATGGACGAAGATCCCATCAAGCGAAAGCGTTTCAGGCACAGAGCACGGAAGTTGAGCAAAAAAGGAAGGAACAAAGACACCTCGACCAGCGGGAGTTCAGAGAGCTCGGACTCCTCGAGTCAAATGAGTGCGAGCGAGGGTCACTTTGGGGAGCTTTTCACTCCGCAGACCAGCGCCCAGAAAATGTGGGAACGCCTTCCGGGAGTCTTGACTGCCCAGTTGCTACAGGACGCGCATCGCAGCATGCTTCTGCAGATGGGCAGCATGTCATCGACAACAGGTCAACTACAGCCGCTGACATCGCAGTATGTGAGGCAACAAATGGGGTCAGCTATGTCACCAGTGATATATCGAGAAGCGATCCACTGGGCAGCCGCCTTGGACCTGATGGTCCAAGGAAAGGTTGCAGCCGCATGCGATGTGATGTCACAGAGACTGAAATCGCTGGAGGCTTTGGCAAAGGGCATGAAGGTCGACTTGATCAAACAGCTCGAGTTGATTCAGGTAGATCACCACGGCCTGGCCAGCTCGAGCGAACTACATCAGGCGGGCCGGACAGCCCACGAGGAGAACAAGATCTATGGCAAGGCGACCGGGAAGTACCCCGACTTCAGAGACCGCTACAAGGAGAAGGGGAAGTCCAAAGGAGACAAAGGAGACGGCAAAGACAGAGATCGAGACAGAGAGAAAGGCAAGAAGGAGAAGGGAGACGGCAAGAAGAAGCAATAGAAGAGTTTCACACGGGAGTCAGGCAGGCTCCTGGTACAGAGCAATCACTTCCTAGTGGCAAGGAGGTGGAGGCAGAGGAATTCAATGGATTTGGATCGGGAGCCCAAGAGCGAGAAGCAATGGCTCCTGGTTTGAGTATGCTTGACATCATCCAGCAGTCAGCCAGCGTTTTGAGACAAGACAGCACCATTACAATGCGCTCCAACATGGAGGCCCTTCCGGATCGGCAGAACCCTTTGTTCCCACTGCGACAGGTGAGAATGGAGGAGCTTGAGGAGGAAGGGACTCCGCGCCGGCTGACTGAGGAAGCAGCGAAGGGGGCTTTCCAGGCTCTTAATCATTTGGCTGGATTCGGGGCATCGAAGGCCTTGGCTACTTCCACGAGTTCTCCAAGTGTGCCGGCTCACGAAGATGAGCATGGACTTCGATCACGTGCGGAAAAAAGTGTGTCGCGTCTTGTGCAGCGGAATCACATGTGGGGTGTGTCCAACGAGGAGGTTAACTTTGACTCTTTTTTCAAGGGACGAGGGGTAAATTACCAGGGTGACGAGATCAAGACTGCTCAGAAACTTTCATGGGAAGCAGTCAAGCAATCTTTGCCCGAGGAAGTCGGTTCGTTGCCGCTTGCTGATTTTTGTCGGTTGGGGACACTTGCATATATACAAGATTTTGAGAAATATCTTGTTCCTGAAGAAGCTAGGATTTACACCACTCCACCTCGAGTCATGGTCCAGGAGGGACAGTGGGAGGCCCTGGCAACAGGACTCCTAGAGCGGGGGATAGCGGAAGCCATGCCCCTGGAAAAGGTATACCATCTGAAGGGACAGCCGGTCCTGAACGGACTATTTGCAGTGGGCAAGGGCGAATATGTGAACGGCACTGAAACCCAGAGGCTGATCATGAATTTGACACCGGTCAACGCTCTATGCCGATCATTGGCGGGAGACGTAGGGACTCTACCGGCACTCTCAGGCATGAATGGTTACATCTTGGACGATGGTGAGGTGGTCCTCCTTTCCAGCGAGGATATCAGGTGCTTCTTCTACTTGTTCGCTGTGCCTCAGTGTTGGAAGAGTTATTTGGGGTTCAACCGATTGCTGCCTGAGACCCTGGTTCCTGAAAGATGGCGGGGTCAGCCGTGTGTGTTAGTTTCAAAAGTGTTACCTATGGGATTTGTGAACTCGGTGTCAATCGCTCAACACATCCATAGGAACGTAGTGAGGCTCAGTGCACAACACAACACTGTCAACCTGTCATTGGGGGAGAGTGTGAGCTTCGTAAGGACAAGGGACTTTCCAACTCCAGCCTTTTGTTTCGCACCTACCTAGACAACTTTGACTGTTTAGAGCGCGTGCAAGCTAGCCTAGCTGAATGTATCAAGGGCACAGTGGCCGGTCAGGTTGAGCAACTCAGGGAGGCGTACGAGGCTCTGGGGCTACCCCGCCACCCAAAAAAGGCTGTTCAACGTTCAAGCGTAGGTGAGATGCAAGGTGCGTTGTTTGACGGCGAACGTGGTTTCGCCATGGCAAAGCCGGCCAAGGTTGTGCAGTACTGCAGGTTGGGCTTTGAGTTGTTGCAGCGTGGCCAGTCGACTCTGAGGGAGTTGCAGGTAGTGTGCGGCGGTTTTGTTTACCTGTGCATGTTTCGGAGAGCGTTGCTGTGCTCGTTGAACGCAGTGTTTGAGCACATGCGGGCATTCGAGAGCGAGGCTCCGGTGGTTCGTCTGTCTCTCCCATACCAGGTGAAGGTCGAAATCGCTAGGTTTATCCTACTCGCCCCTCTTGCTCAGATGGAATTCAGGGCTAAGGTGGATGGTGAGGTGACGTGCTCTGATGCGTCGTCATATGGGGGTGGTCTTTGTGCTACTAAGGGTCTGAGTGAATTTGGTCATGCGGCGCTCAACTCCTGTTGTAGGGGTGACCTTCCAGAGGAACATGACCTTGTGCAGGTGCTCAGTATTGGGTTGTTTGATGGAATCGGTGCCCTGCGCGTTGCGTGCGACGTGTTGGGCCTGCCAATGGCCGGGCATGTGAGCATTGAGCAGAACCCTCATTGCCACCGGGTGGTTGAGAGTTTCTTCCCTGAGTGTGACTTTTTCGACGATGTCACCCAATTTGGAGAAGAGGAGATTCTGCATCTGTCACTTAAGTACAGCAATGTGGGCCTGATCATTGTAGGTGCGGGGCCACCATGTCAAGGCGTCTCAGGTTTAAACGCCGACAGACAGGGCGCCTTGAGGGATGCTAGGAGCTCCTTATTCCAAGAGATCCCCCGGATAACGTCTTGCATCAAACGCATTTTTCACTGGGCGCAGGTTCATGAGCTTGTTGAAAATGTGGCATCCATGTCAGAAGCCGATCGGGTTATCATGAGCCGGAAGTTCGAGCGTGCACCCTTTCGTATCGACTTGAGGGACATCTCGTTGTGCTCAAGGCCGCGGTTGTATTGGGTCACCTGGGAGCTGCGCTCTGGGTCAGGTGCAAGCGTCACGGAACCTGTAGGGGACTCCTACTCTGGTTGTGGGAGCGTGCGACTCTGGGGTGAAGTGGAGGCGAAGGCTTTCTTGCAGCCAGGCTGGAGTCTCATGGAAGGTGGATACTTGCCCACCTTTACCACATCCCGTCCTCGTGATGGACCGGGCAGGAGGCCTGCAGGTATCGAGGGTTGTCAGGAACATGAAAAGGCTCGATGGGCTCAGGATGCTTTTCGTTTTCCGCCGTACCAATATAAAGATGCCAATGGCCTCTGGAGCAAGCGAGGTGAGTGGAGGCGCCCTGACTCCACGGAACGTGAGGCCTGTTTGGGGTTCCCGGTGGGGTATACGAGGAATTGCGCGCCTAAGGGTCAGCAACAAGGCGAAGCATATGAGGACATCAGGCTCACACTGCTAGGTAACTCATGGCATGTAGCAATAGTTGCGTGGCTCATACAGCAGTTGACCCTGCCGTTGGGTTTGTGCAAAACAGGTGACCTCCAACAGTTGCTTCGGAACTTGACCCCAGGACAGGCCTCAGACTTCTCAACCATGTTGACTCGGCCACCCCTGCACGGGCGCCACGCATTGGTCAAGGAAGCGGACACCGAATTGTTGGTCAAAAAGCTCATTGGCTTATCTTCCATGAAAGGCGAAGACCTCATGGTACAGAGCGGGAGTGACCCAGCTCCTCGGTATTTCAGACTGCGTGCAAGCGTGCCGGGCAGATTGTGGAAATGGCGTGAGATCAGTGGCTGGAGATGGAAGCACTCGGGTGAGCACATCAATGCGTTAGAGCTCCGTGCCATACTGACTAGTATCAAATGGAAGATCTGGAGACGCAAAAGAGTAGGGATGCGGATCCTGCATTTGACCGATAGTTTAGTATGTCTCCATGCCCTCACTAGAGGTAGAAGCTCCAGTCGGCGCCTTAGACCCATCATTATGCAACTGAATTCCTATCTACTTGCTGCTGACCTGCACCCCCTGTGGGGGTACATCCACACGTCGTTGAACCCTGCGAACCGTCCTAGTAGGCGGCCGCTGAGAAAGAAATGGCTAAAGTAAAAGCGCGTGTGCTAGAGGGTCGTAGCAAGGAAGATAGGAAACGTCAGCGCAAGGCACTGGGGCCTTTGAAGGGTCTAACTGTTTCTAGCAAGACACAAGCACGCTACAAGAATGCACGAGACCGCTTCTATGATTTCCTGCATCGCAACCAAATTGAGATCCCGACCAAACGTGACAGGTTTGATTCCCTTGTTTCTGAATACATTGAGTTTTTATGGTCAGAGGGCGAAGGACGCGGCCTTGCCTCTGATACCATTGCGGGATTGCAAGACCTTGATCCAAAGCTGAAGGGACATTTGCAGCAGACCTGGAGATTGATGAAGACTTGGAACACCCAAGAAATCCCCAACAGGGCTCCGCCCCTCCCTGAACAGGCAGTCTTGGCCATGGCGGGCTGGGGTTTTTTTCATGGGCATTTCAATTTTTCAGTTTCCATCCTTGTGTGCTTCTATGCCATGTTAAGGACTGGGGAAGTACTAGGCATCCGCAATTCAGATATCGCAATGAATTCTGGGACAGCCCCGGCTGTGATCAGTTTAGGTTTAACCAAAGGCGGGAAAAGAACAGGTGCAGCAGAGTCTGTAACCTTGACGGCCGCAGTGGCCCTGAAATGGCTGTGGCTCTGGAAGAGTCAGAATGGACCCCGTGCTTCGTTATGCCCCTCAGCCTCCGTATGGAGGAAAATGTTTAAGAGCTGTTTGTCGGATTTGAGTCTTAGTCTGTTCGAGTTCAGGCCTTATTCTCTTAGAAGAGGTGGTTCGACGTTTTGGTTTGCCAAACACGGGAGTCTCGATCGGCTCCTGGTAGCTGGACGCTGGCAAGCCGCCCGCACGGCCCGCATTTATATTAATGAAGGCCTGTCAGTGTTAGCCGAGTTGCACTTACCCCATAAGTCCCTCCTCCCTTTTGCACGTGTGTTTCACTCTCAGTCCACACCCCCAGAACCAGCACACTTGAGCGCGCGCTCGAGGCGCAGAAAAGGGGGACGTGGAAAGGGTGGGGGG